CTGCTACTGGTCCTCCTCCCAGGGCTTCATATTAGCCACACCAGCTATGATCCAGGGCCTCAGACGGCTTGTATGACCTCCTAATCCCTGGGCCTGCACCCAACACCTCCTGCCATGAAGCACTTCTGACAGCACACTCCCATGCCGTGCTCCACTGAGTTATATCCATAACAACTTCCTGTGTCCTCACCTGACTCTTAACCACTGGCCTTCCCACTATCTCCTAAGCCAATGTGGCCCAGGACCCAGAGACAACAAACTCCTGTCACAACAACCACTGCCACAAGGAAAGCCCGCACAATGGATTTAAATGGGTATAATGGAAATCTTGCCTCACTGCATCTGAGGGTCAGTGTCCAAATTACTACACCTTTCTTAACCTTGGTCTCTTCATCTCTAAAGTCAAGAAAATAAATCAAAAGGTAACTGGTTCTGAAGATTCAGGAAGGTTCCATGAGCCCCGTCCCCTGGGGCAGAGGTTGGGACAAAACGAGGTCTTGGAGGGAGTTCCCTAACCTTACAGTCCAGCCATGAATGAAGGCATTGCAGGGCAGTTGTCACTTCTGCAGGGGTCTTGTCTCCCTGTCATCTTGTAAACACCAGGAGAGAGGACACCGTGTCTCCCTGAACAGCTCTCTCAGGGCATCATGCATCCTGACACATGGCAAAATCCCAGGAAACCTACAAGGAGCCCCATGGGAACTGTTTCTCCCTCTTTGTTGTTCTAGAAACAGTGAGAAGACGTGATGGTACCCTCTCTCTCTTGGTGTTTTCTAGAAGTCACTATGGAAGCCCCTGGCCTGGGGGGGTGACAATTAACATCACCCAGGAGTGACTGCTCTGCGGCTCTGCTCCTTCAGGGAGCTCTGGAAGTGTCTTCCAAGAACTGTGTTCATGTCCCCCGAGTTGATCGTCTGGGCGCCATATGTAACATGATGGGGGCCGGCTTGTTGGGGTTTCCGTCCCGCCCAGTACCCCATAACCGGCAAATCCCAAAGAGAAATTACACACAGGACTCCATAAGGTTATAAACTGATTGGCCCATTAGGTCAGGCTTCTTGTTAACTCTTATAACTTATATTAACCCATTATTCTCATCTATGTTAGCCATAATGACTCCGTACCTTTCTCAGCTGGGCAGGTTACATGCTGTCTCTTCGGTGGTCTGCACAGGAATGGCAGAGGAAGTTTCCTCCTCCCTAGCCTTATCCTATTTTCATTGCCCCGCCTCTACTTCCTGTCTGGTTGACCCGCCTATACTTCCTGCCTGGCCAATCAGCGTTTTATTAAAATACACGATTGACAGAATACAGATAATTCTCCCGCACCACCCGAATTTGTCCACAGTCTTCCCTCATTAAGACATCTGTATTTGTGGGGTTCCACAGAGGCCCCTTGTTCCTGATTCTGACTCTTGGCCTCTCATGCCTCCCCCTAGGACATGGGTTTTGTCACCCTTCCACAGAGCCTTCCAATGATTTGGATGGTTTTCTTTACTGTCTATTCTTCTTCATGGTTCTAGCTCTTCTGATAACACTGGCCACAACCTCTTCATCTGCCCTTCTGCTCACCAAGTTATTTCTTTTAATTACGTTATTTTATTCATTCATGTGTGTGTGTGTGTGTGTGTGAGAGAGAGAGAGAGAGAGAGAGAGAGAGAGAAAGAGAGAGAGAGAGAACATGTGGAAGTCAGAGGACTTTCATGAATATGTTCCCTCCTCCCACTGTGTATATCCTGGGGATCTAACTCAGGTCAGCAGGCTTGGTGGCAATGGATTTTACCCACTGAGCCTTCCGCTGGCACTTGGTTTATCCTTTACTTGTGTGCAGCCAGGGGAAGGACTTGTATCTCCTGGAACAGAAGTTGCAGGCAGTTGTGAATTGCCAGACTTGGGGGCTGAGAACCAAATTCAGGTCCTCTGGAAGAGCAGCAAGTGCTCTCGCCCACTGAGTCATCATTCTGGTCCCCACCTTTCCTCTCTCTTTCTCTCCCTCTCTCCCTCCCTCCCTTCTTTCCCTCATTTTTTCCCCTCTGCCTCTTGAGTGCTGGAATTAAAAACATGCACCACTACTGCCCGGCCCTCTCTCCTTTTCTAGTACGGAGGTTTTAACGTCACAGAATTCCCTGAGAGCGGTGCTCAAGTTCCAATCTGGACATTTCTAGCTGTTATTCTGTTCAAACCCCATTCTAATTTTCCTCTCACTTTCTCCCTGACTCCAGCATGGAAATCCGTTGGTTGTTTAACAAGTATTTAGGGATTTCCCCAATACCCTGTGCTGGTAAAACCGATTTCTCTTTTATCCCACTGAGGACGATTGAAATGACTTGAATCATTTTGGATCCCTGGATCTTGCTTTGTGATTGAGGACCTGGCCTGTCGTGGACAGGGTACAGCACAGCTGCTGAGCCGAGCGCCTTCAAAACCCACCAGGACTCTTGTCCTTCCTGTCACTCGTACCCATTATGGGAAACAAACACTAAAACCTCCAGTTAGAACTCCATTTCTGGGTCTCTCTTGCATCTCTTGCTCCCCGTGCTGTTGGAGGCTCTTCGGGTCAGGACAGTAAACCAGTGTGGGTGTCATTGGGAGGCGACCCCCGTCCCTGCTGTGCTCTGTGGTCTAAGACCTTTGCTGCCTGGCCTCCAGTCGCCGGTCAGCAGTCATTGGACACAACCCCACTCCTCACCACTGCCCTCGGTTCCCCAGAAGCAGCTTTGGTGACTGTTGCTTTGACAGCCTCTCCCTACTGCTCACACTTAACAGTGACTACTGGCTGCTTCCGGCCATGATCTTGCCAGCTCTGGCCTCTATCTCTGCCTTCTTGGGGGGTGAGCTGAGCTGTGGCTAGGTCCTGTCCTGCCTCTTCTGCTAGTCTATAAGCAAGTTTGTCTTGACTGGTGGCTAGGTAGCCTCTCTGGCCAGTAATCTTGTTCTCACGAGCTCCTGTCCTCTATGGTGGCTCTCCATGCTCAATGGCAATTGTGTCCTGAGCACTATAGGATCATACGAACTTAAGTGAGCAGTCTGCCAGCAACATCCCCTAAGGACCACACACACATACACACACACACACACACTCACACACTCACACACACACACACTCACACTCACACACACACTCACACACACACTCACACACACACCTTAGCCACCGCCCTCGTCCAGTCACCCTTCAGACCTCAGTTCCTCCTGGGCACCTTCATGCTCCACACGAGTGTGATGTGTTCTTACTTCACAAACAGCTCACCCGCTGCTCCTGAACCACACCAGACCTGGGCTTCACCAAGAGCGAGGCCATGTCCCCCACCTGGTGCAGGATACAGTGAATGCTGTGAACAAGTTAGCTGATCCGTGTGATCTGGGGCCTTTCCTGCTGGGAAAAACATGTCCAGTAGGAAGCAAAGCACCTGGGTTAAGTGACTCATAGGCGAGTCCCAGCTCCGCATTGTGGAAGGACACAGTGTGAATGCTGACACGGGGGTCAGTGGGCAGGGATCAGCATGCAAGGCTCAGCGTGCAGGGCTCAGTGTGCAGGTGTGCAGGATGAGTCAAGTGTCCTGAGAAACTTCCTCATCTGTATGGCATTGCTAGGGGCCACCTCCCTGGGTTTCTCTGCAGACCCAATAAGCTGGTGTGTGTTGGGGTTCCCTCCCTGTTCTCCTTGGTTTCAGTGTACTCAGCTCCTCCTGAGGCCTGCTCTGGACCAGTGAACAGGCGTCCGGCACAAGCCATCAAGCAGTCAGTGATTGGGCACGAAAAGTGACAGGTTATGGAGGTCTTTGGCATGGAGTAAGGAAGCACTGTGGGGAAGATGGGGAGGGCCAATCTGAGTGACTGTGTATCTTGCTTCACAGGGGCTTGGGCACAGGCTCTTAGGAAGTAGCTGTGGTCATACCTGCCTGTCAGAAAAGCTGCTTCGTGAACTGTAACGATGAGGTGGGGGAGGAGGGTTACTTGGGGTCATAACTGGGGGACAGTAACTTGTCCCGGAGAGACTGCAGACAGGGATGACCACTAACCTAGTTGCAGGCAAAGATTTCTTTCATGACAGTTGTGATACTGTGAGGTGTGTGTGTGTGTGTATGTGTGTGTGTGTGTGTGTGTGTGTGTGTGATGTATATGTATATACCCTCTTCCTTGCCTTTGACACAATACCCCTAAGGTCTTCACAATCTCCAAAGATGCAAGAGTATCTTGAGTACCAGTGAGGTGACAGATTACTGGACTCAAAGTGTCTACAGGATGTTGTTGGTCATGAGAAAGGCCAAGGCAGGATCAGAGGACTGGATGTTGAGCCCCTCTTCCTCCTAGAGGCTGAGCAGACCAGTGTCGGGGGGAGGGGGGGTAGGATGAGTGGACCTCCCAGGTCACTGATGTAATCATTGGTACCTATGAAATAAAATCACAGGAAAACCCAAAGCAGTTCCCTGTGAGTTTCAGGCTGTCTGAACAGCTGGGGGGTATCTGGGGTGGGTCCCAGAGTGGGTGTGACCTTACTCTGCTCATCTCTTGTGCAAGATCCTTAGCAGCCAGCCAGTGGGTAACGATAGATAGTACGTTTCCCCAGGGTTTGAGACCTGCTCTAGAAAATCCTATTTGTCACTTAGGATGCAGAGGACCTGACCCTCACCCTGTGGTGCTTGGCATCATCTCCAGTGGGTGGTGCTGGGACTATAGCAGATGTGGGGCACCTCTGGGCTAGACACGGTGGTTTGGTGATCAGGCAAAATGGGAGCAACGGCTTGGGTTTTTTCCTTGATATCTACAAGGGTCTGTGGTTCACCACGTCAGCTTCCACCATCAGCCTCCGCACCTCAGGTAGCCCCTTGGCCTCAGCCTCTACTGTGAGGTTCAGATCCTGGGAGTTGAGCATGTTTTGTTTGGTCCTGAGTTGAACATGCCTTTCAGATTTATAGAGACAGGTTTGCAGACTAGAATTTCACAGCTTGTTCCTAGAAATGATTGTTTTGTTACATAACACGGAGCCGGCATCTTTAGACACAGAGAGCAGCCTGCACTTCGCTCTAGGCCAACGAGCTCTGTCCCTACCTCTTAGACCTCCTCTATTTGGACTCCATCTCCAGCCTCTAAGGTGGCTTCATACAGGTAGCCTGGCAGACCCAGGCTTGTCTCGGTCAGAACTCGGAAGCCAGTGGGAGAAGCCCTGAGGAAGCCGAGACCAGCCCCCTGTCCTCCTCATCTGGTGAGCTGAAGCCTGTCCCTTTGAGTGTGAGAGAACAGGAAACTGTGTGATGTGGATGAGGGGGGCGCTCAGTGGGAAGACAGGGGAGGGAGGCAGAGGGTTTGTGCACAGCTCTCAGCAGCACAGTGCCCCTGACGGAGGGGCACTGCCCTGGCACTACAGGCCATGCGTGGAAGCTTCCCTTGTGTCACAAAAGCCTCCAAGAGTCTCCTTGTCCAGGAGCCTGACCCAATGGGTTTTGTCATGGGGTGTATGTCTTCAGTTTTAAGGGAAACATGGAGATTCCAGGAGATCAAGAGAGAATATTCCAGGTCTAACCAGTGACTGTGGCATAGACTCCAGCCTACCTGCTCTAGGCTGTCACAATCATGGTCTCCGAGTGCCTGCTTGTCCATCACCCAGCCCCAAGGGAGAGACCTCAGGACACAGGGTGACAATGCTATGAGATGCTTGACACTGAGGTCCTAGAAGCCCCAGATACCAGAATTGTCACTCTGGGGAACTAGGCACCACCAAATTCCACCACGGGGGGGGGGGGGGGGGTGGGGGTGGGAAACACATATGGGTACACCAATTAGTAGCACTGCTTAGCCCACCCCACTGGTCAGTGTGGACCCCCATCTTCAGAGAGCAATAGTCCAGGGCTGAGAGCATGGGACACCATCAGATGAACAGTGACCAGCAAGCCCCAAGTAATATGCAAAATGGCAGGGGTGGGATTACCTTAGGCTGCAGTGACCAAGACAGAGTACCAGAAGCAGGGCGACCAGACCAGCACTGACACCAGCAACCTGGGGGATGGGGGCTGCTCCTCAGGAACCTCCAGCCAGCTAGAGCTGACTTCTTGACTGTGCAGAAAAGTACTTCAGTATAAGCCTGGCAGAGTTTGCTGCACTTCTGAGTCGTCTAAGAAAAAACCCACGCGGTCCCACACAGGCATGGGCTCCTGGAGAGAAAGTTGTGCTTAGGGGCTTTGTGGGGGTTGGATATATGGTCTGTGGCTTTCTCTGTTATATTCCTTAAAGCACGTGATTTACAAGTTTTAAAGATCAAGCAGAGCTTAAAATTTATACAAAGGTTAAAAATTAAGTGGAAATACACAAGCTTGTTTGCTTATTTTTTTTTTCTTATCTTAAAAAAAAAAGTCCTAGGCTGGCGAGATGGCTTATTCATTAAATGCACTTTCCACCAAGGAGAATGACCTGAGTTCAATCCCCAAGATCCACATGATGGAAGGAGAGAAGCAGCTCCCCCAAGTGATCCTCTGGTCTCTACGCTTGTGATACAGCTAATGTGCCATGGGACCTCTCTGTGAGCCATGGGACACATACACACAATAAATCAATTAAAAATAATAATTTTCTTCTTAATGAAACTGCAAGGAAGTGTTTATGAGGAGCAGTGTTTGGACTTAGGGATGGTAGGTACTAATGTGGTTAAGCGCTAGGCTGTAGTCACATGGCCCTAAGTAGGCATAGCTCAAGCTGAGACCAGGTTGTGCCCTGCTCTGATGACTCCTCAACGCATGGAACAATGGCTTTCAGGCTGTGCCCTCCTCTGGGTGACTCCACCTTACAAAGAAACATCTGCCCCTGTTTTGAGAGCCGGTGCAGAGGCAGGGGTACTCTGCTCCTCATTCCAGGTGTAGCAGACACCACATGTATAGCACCACCCCTGAGACACCGACTGATGACTTACTTCTGTAAGTAGAAAGTATGTATCCATTACTTCTCTGTTGCTGTCACAAAAAAACGTTGACCAAATTAAGAAACAACTTAAGAAACAAAGAGTATGTTTTGCCTCACAGTTTCAGAGGGTGCAAGCCCATCACTTGGGGGAAGGGCTGGCAGCAGGAAGCTGGGCTAGGTGGCCACATCTCATCTGCACACAGGAAGCAGAGAAACAACAGAAAGTGGGGTGAGGCTATAAACCCCCAAAGCCCATCTCCAGTGACATACTTCCTCCTAAGAGTTCCATAACCTCCCGCTAACTGAGAACTAAGCTTTCAAATACATGGTTCTTGGGGAACACTTATCACTCAAGCACCACAAGGTGCAGAGCAGAAACTCGGGAGAGGAGTGGGGCTGGCATGCACATGCAATACTGAACCCATGCAAGAAAATCAGGGCTGAGAACCTGGCAAGCACATCAGGCCAACATGTTCACCTGGATCCCATAAAGAAAAGGACACTTCCCCCACCTGTCATCTGACCACCCAGCTCATGTGACCGTCAAGGGACCAACAGGTAGAGAACTCCAATTGTCCCAGAGACTTCACCTTGTCTCAGAGATCTTCCCCACGGCAGCCTTCTTGAATCACCATCAGTTTCTCCATCTGTACTTCTGGACCTGGTTTTGCCCCTAACCTCTACCCTCCTGTCTCTGGCAGCTCTATTCAATGCCCGGCACTCCTGACTCCAACAGCTCTCTGACTGAGCTGTTAGTGTCGTCTGACCCTGACTGTGGCTCTCTGCATCTATTAGTTTTCTGCTTCTGAGGCTCCTTGAGTCTCCAGAAACTCTCCCACAGTCTATTCTGTAACCTATGCATACATACATATATAAACACATTTGCTATGTGATGTCTCGTGTGTGATCTCAGAGTTTATATTAGTAATTAAGATTAGACTAAAAAAAAAAATGTTCTCCTCAGCCAGTGAGCAAGGAAAATGGAAACTGCTTGGCACATTGTCACAGAGGAAACCTGGAAACTTGTAAACTCACTGTTATTTAATTAATTGTTATTCAATCAATGACACTATAGGAACACACAGATGTGTCTTTATTTCCGCCATTGTGTGCTCACCAAGTTTTGTTGTTCTTAACCTGCTTGTCCAGTAGTGTTTTTCAGAAAACAACCATTCCTTATATCAGCAATCTTGGCCTTAATGGGTTGTACTGAAGCTCCATGGCTCCCATTCAGCAGGAAAGATCTTTCCCTTCCCGTGTTCCTGAAGAGCACACCTGTCTCGGATCAGGGTTGCCTCTGCTCAGAGCTGGCAAGGAGGAAGATGGCCTTGGGGGGATCGCACACTCTCATCTCCTCAACCTGAGCAGACCAGCAGTGGAAGCAGCAGGCTGAGCTGACTCTAACCAGGAGAGCGCGTGACACGGGTGACTGTTTCTCTATTCTAACTTCAAGAAACAAACTCCACTCGGCAAGGACAGAGCAGATGCCAAGAGCCAGGAGGGTTGGCTCCTGCCTAGAGCCGCATAATTAGAGCTGCCGGAACTTGACACAAAGGTCTTCCCCTGACGTTCTAAAGCTAGAAACTCAAAATCAAGGTGTTGGCAGAGTCACCTGCCAACCTCCTTCTGGAGCTCTGAGGCTCCTTCCTTTTCCAGCCTCTGGGAGCTCCAGGTGTTCCTGGCTCCTGGCCACATCCCTCCTGTCTCTACCTCTGTCTGCAAATGACCTCCTGCGTCTCTGTGACTCTATATAATCCTCCCTCCTGTGAGGACATCTGTCACTGGATCAAGGGCCAGCGCAAACAAGTCCCTCATTTTCACTCACTTCATCTGCAAAGATTCTATTTCTAAATAAGGTCCAGTGAGTTTGAGGGACACACAATGAATCTGAGGCCAAACTGGCTCCCACCCTTCTGCACTTCCTGTGCCGGCTGAGAGCCACAGGATGCCCCCACCATGCCCAGCTAAGCAGAAACTATGGGCAGAGGTCCTGGCAGGAAGCAGAGGCTACTTTCTCCTCCTTTCTTCCTCTTCCTCCTCTCCCCTGCCAATGGAAAGTTCCAGGTGGATATCACTTACAGGTGAGTAAGGACACCCTGGGGAAGCCGCTCCAGGAGTGGAGGGCAGGGAGGGAGCCTGCGGCCCACTCTCTGCTCTCAGGAGTCTCTCAGGAGTAGGAGCGGAGTGTCTGGGAAGAGAAAGAGACTATCTCCGAACCATGCAGAAGTCTCCAAGGACCCGTTGTTAAAAGGCAGTCGCTTTCCTCCAGTTCCAGACTCGGCTTGATGATGCCAGGCACTCGGAGGCATGTTTATTTCCTGTCTGGACCACGGAGCCTTGAAGCACGGGCAATGTCAGCGTTGGTGGCTGCTACACCCATGGCAGCTTAGCATAGGGGGCTTCCCCTTACAGGCGCATGGGACAAGGTACAGAGGCTCCACATTACTGTGAGGTTTAGTGGCTCAGGACTGACGGCATTCTCATCTGTCACCACGCAAAGTTTTGATCTCTTTCACCGTGGGACTGCCGTCCCCCATCAAAGGACACCAGTGTCACTGGCTTGTAACCTCTTGGTCTTACTGGTTTCTGCCCTAAATAAACAGTGACCACTGGCTTGGGCCACAATCAGGTTATGACCCAGATTTATATGTCCACCCTCAACCCCACCCTCCTTCTCCCACAACCAAGACTTTCTGAAGCAACATGAGGCCATCCCAAGCCCCTGAGGCTTCTGGAAGCCATAAGACCCCACCCCATTTTGCTCCACCCTGCCAACCCCCAGAGGACTTTAAATATGGCTGTTGCTTAGAGAGTCTGACTTGGGCAAGGACTGTCTAGATCCAAGAACTGCCTGCCAGGAAACCAGCCCCCTTCCCACTGCCCACCTTCACCCTTACCCCATCCCCTTTGCCTCTCAGCTCATCCTCACGAGCATCTCACTCTGAACCACTGCCTCGAACAAATCCACAGGCCCCCAAGAGGACACCTCTGTCCTCCAGGACTACCAACCCAGTAGAGGGCAATCCAAGTGTATACAGCCAGGATGAGCACTGGATAGAAAAGCAAGGAGCCGCTAAGAGCCACCGCCTGGGTGGGCCCCTCCTTGGGCTTGTCTGACCAGGCCGTAGAAGCCCACCTGTCACAAAGAATGTTAGGTCTGGGAGCATCGAGTCTTCAGTAGGGTCTTGGCCGGTGTGTAGCAGTTCTTCTTGTCCTGATTTCCAGTCACTTGTACTTTGACAGGCTCCCTGCTCTGTGTGCCTCAGCATGTACTGAGTGTGTCCTTCTCCATGGGGTCATCAACGGCTCTGACCTCTGAGGGCAATCTCAAGTCTGCTGTCCTGTCCCCAGGAGGTCTCCCACTTAGGATTCTCTTGGCTTGCCTCGGCAATGCTCACAGACCCTCCCATACTCCACTCCCTCCCTCACCCCTCCCTCAAAGCTGGGCTCAGGCTTTTCTTTTCTTTTCAAATTTTTCTAATTTTTATTTTATGTGTCTAGGCATATAGCCTGCGCATGTATACGACTGTGTGCCATTTGTGTGCCTGGTGCCCATGGAAGCCAGAAGAGGAAGTCACATCCGCTAGGACTGGAATTACAGAAGGTTGTAAGCACCATGTCGGTGCTGAGAACTGAACCCAGGCCCTGGTTTTCCTAAGTTCTCCGGTCCCCCAACATTTTCTTACAGCCTCATGAACCCTCTGTCACAGCTCCAGCCTCCCAGAATTGCCACAGCCCAAGGCACCATGCCCACATCTGGGTCTGTTTTCTCTCGCAGCAGACTGGAGACTCTTGAGAAATGGGGGTCAGGAATCAGCCTCTCCCTGTACTCCTGAGGAAGGCCTGGGCCAGGGCGGGACCCAGGGAGGAATGCCGTGGGGCTCATCTCAAAGTTGCACGGTTGAGTCAGCACAGCTGCTGGGGCTGCACAGTTAAAACTCCACCTGGGGAATATTCTCTTTCTGCTCTGGCCCAGTTATGTCCCTGGTTCCTGGAAAAGCTGCTGAGTGATGTTCTGAAGATCTCTGTGGTAGCAGCTGATAGCTGGCAGCATGCGCTCGGTAGAGGGCTGTCTCCCCCACACACTACCTGGTGGCACCCCAAGTCACAAGGCCCCTCCTCACATCCCCTGCCTCTTCCTGTGACACCTTTACATCCTGAGGCAAGAGATAAGCCTGCCTGAATCCCTGTGTCCTTTGAGGTAAAGACAGGACTGGTGTGGAGGTCATGAGATCGTTCATGTATTAGCACATGCCAGACTCAAGTGGAGATGCCAGAAAGGGACACCTGGATCCAGACAGCTGTTTCTATAAGCTAAGTGGTCTGCCTGGAGGCAGCCATATGCCCCAACTGAACCCCAGCTTCCATATAACTAGCTCCTTTCCCAGCTGAGAAGATCCAAAGGCAACAGCTCAAGAATAATCTAGATACTAAGAGGGTCAGGGTAGCTGAGAGGTTGTCCTGAAGCTAGGGTCGTGATAAGGACAATAGTCCTTTATCCATTGACACTTCGGGCCTCAAGGAGCCCAAGATTGACATAAGAGACACACATGTCCTAAGAGACTCGTGCACAGAGGCACCTGATGCACTTGCACACATACTCACACATGCACACACTAGCCAGCTCTCTAGAGCTAACAGATAAGAGCCAGCCTTGCCTGGACAGCCTG